GCCTGGGGACTGAGCTTCTTTGGTGGCACTCTCTGGGACTGTGGTCTTCTGTGCCTGAGAACTGACTGCTGGGACATTTTCCAAATGCCTTTGAGAATCTATTGAGATAAAAAATTATCATTTTCAGTGGAAAAAGTGTTTTTAACCAAGGCTCCTATTTAGCAACAATATTTATATAAAAGGTTTTTATGGTTTATAAGGCACTCTTCTTCAGCATTATTTTCCTTGACTTTTGCTAAAAATTATTAAAACAAAATTTATTACCACGTTCATCAACCTAACAAATAACGTTAGTGCAATCATTTTTTGCAAGGCAAACTAACTTTTAGTTATAGTAAATACATCCTCTTCCCTAAAAGGGTACAATTAGAGGCAATGCTTATCAATGACACCTAAAACCATTAGATAGAGGGGGAATTTTGTATGCACGAATCTTATCTTAACATCACAGAAGAGAACCAGATAGCTCCTTATGCAAGCAATGTCACAGCAAGTACATTACCTCACCTAGGAAGTACCCATGCCAGAAACTGAACCTGAATCCAATCCCGTCTCGCGATCGACTAGTTTCCCAGAAATGTAAGAAAACGGGGATGTATTAAATGATGTTTTAGTAATGTAATTGGCAAAGCCAGAGTGTGAGAAATTCCAAGAGACAAAGACTTTGGTTTTAAAGTAATGCCAAGAAATAAAAACAAATGGAAAGAAGGGGAGAAAGCCTTCTAATCTACAGATTAAAAGAGGCTTAGGAGATTTATCAATCAAATGCAGTGTGTGGACCTTATTGATATCCAGTTTCAAATAAACCAATTCCTAAACATACATATAAGACAGGACATTTCGAATACTGGAATTTGATGATATTAAGCAAATCTTTTTTGTCTTTTTAAATGTGATTAAGGTGTTGTGATGAAGATTTTTTTAAAGCCTTATCTTTTAGACCCACAATCAAGTGTTCATGTCCAAAATATACTTCAATGCAACGCTCTGAGAGAAAGGAGGGAACAGAGGATACAATGGGAGTTCCTATCTTGGTTGATGAATACATAAGTTGTTGTTGTTGTTTTTCACATTTCTACTTTCTTGTGTTTGACATTTTCTATTTTTTAAAAAAGCAACTCAAGAGATTAGCCAACCAAAAACCCTCTAGAGGGGCCCTTGTTTCGTTAAATCTTGATTCAACAAACCCAACTGTAACAGGGAAATCTGAACAATGACCATATAATAATATTAAGGAATAATGGCCAATTAAATTTTAAGTATGATAATTATTTTGGTCATTTGTTTTTAAGAATATCTTTAAGAGATAAAAACTAAAGCACTAACTGATAAAATATTTTTATTTGTATTAAAATAGTCCAAGGCAATTAATAAGATGAGCCTTTATGTGGATATAGTTAAAGGTGGAGGTTGAAAAATAGTGAAATTTGGATGGCAGATGATGGCCATTACAAGTTATATCTGTTTGACGAATATTCACAAAGTCTTTACTA